ATTCCTTCTGAATGGTCTCGAGCCTCGCTTCCACCTCCCGCAACAGTCCTGGGAGCCTAAATCCATATGTATCAGATATATGAGTTTAATCGAATCAAGTATCCAGTCACCTTGCCACAATCAGATCAAAGAGGGTATTGCCTAGAGCATTAGTTAGGGCGGGGGTTCCCAGGCGAGAGCGAATCCTCTCATCCAGCTGAGACCAAGGAGCTTTCTTGTCGAAGAACGAACGTTCGTTCTTTCGTGCATCTTCCCACGTAATACCCCCTTCGAGTTGTTCTTGGTCGGCTTGCTTAACACAGTACCAACCATGCTTGAATCTCTCTTCTTTGTTTTCAAGTAAAGCGAGCCAAGAACGGTAACTCCCAGCTGCGATACGGTCTGGTTTCGTGAGCACAGCTGTAGCTTGGGATTAGATACTATCGGTTGTGGATAAGAGTCAACCTACGGATAGTGCGGTCACCTGTGGGATCAAGCTGTTTTGCAAGTCTACGCGCACTCTGATTTTCAATATCGCCTTTAACGCAACATTAAGCTCAAATTCTATCATCAGAGTAAAGTCCGCACTTTCACAGGAGATGACGAGAAGGATGAGGCAGCTGGGTTTCTTGATGACCCCCGTGACAAGATTACGAACGTCATCGATATCTGAATCTTTTTCTCCATCTCGCACAGATACGATGATTCCTACAGTAATATGTGAATGCAATAGCAAGGAGATGATATTCCTACTTACCCGGGAGATCGACAAAAGATAGATCATCAACGTTTCTTCCAGAAATCCGGACGGAGACAACATCAGTTGAGAAAGAGAGCTCATTTGAGCCAACTGCCGCGGTGCCATCGAGAACTTTCAGAGGATCCTTTGAAGGGTTGAGAACCGCAAGTTGCGCTCGACGAATCCTATCTTCGACATCGGACTTGTCTTTGATAACATCCCCAAATTTGACTTCTCGAAGCTCTCGAGCAATAAGTAAGTAAACCTCGCACGACCACTCGCGATCAACACGAGACAGGCGACATTCGATGGGACACCTATTTACTCGACAGATCAGTTACCTATTGGCGCTTTAGGCTCTTCATACGAACCTGGTACAAGTCCCTGTAGCACGAGGAAGTGTAATCTATGGCAAGAATCGTTAGAATAAGACGATACTAGGTAAACTAAGATATCTACCCCGGAAATAGACTCGATCAGGGAGCTTTTTCCTACAGACTGAGAGCCGATAACCGCTATACCAGGTAAGTCCAATTTGTGTTGGAGGCTAAGAAGGTACAAAGGGGATGTGAAGAAACGAGTGAGCGATTGAAAGCACTGTAGGGGCAAGTAAAAGAGCAAACCCATAGCTCATGAGATGGTTCACAATGTCGATTACTTGTCGCCTGAGCTTGTATTGGGTGGTTTCTGGGTTCGAGAGTCCCCCAGCGAAACCGGGTTCGTCGTCAGTGCCAGAGAAGGACATTTCGGATGGGGAAGACATTGGGTCAAAAAAGGATGTGAAGAGCTTTTGTTTATCAGGCTGGATTTTATGGGCGTCGAGGCAATGTAAAACGTAAAACCGCCCGTCAGGCTCTGCGCTCACCCGCTCCTTTGTCGTGGGCTCAACCGGGCAGTATTACACGCGTTAGGCTCCGTATCCTGTCAGAAGATGCCCTCTTCTTGAATTCCGACCAAGTTTCCCGCACTTAATGGTATGCCAAGAGGATGGCGTTGTCGACACAAACCACACGGCTCGTATTTTCTCGCAGAATATGAATAACAGTGCTCAGAACTGACGTTGGGGCTCTACTAGGGAATAGATCCTCGGAATTCTTTGCGTGATGCGTGGAAACTCCGGATTAAATCTTCTCCTCATCTTGGGCACGCCCCAAGACAAGCGTTTCGACGTCGCTCTTGAGCTCTTTGATCATTTTCCCAACTTTGGTGACTGGGTCATCCTTGACCTTGTTTGGAGACTCTGCCAACTCCTCCTGAATGGACTTGAGCCTCACTTCCACCTCTCGCAACAGCCCTGGAAGCCTAAGTTCTACATAAGCAAGAAAGATACATTTGATAGAATGGATTATCCACGAACCTTGCCACAATCAAGTCAAAAAGAATGTTATGTACGGCATTAGTCAAGGCTGAAGTTCCTAGACGCAAGCGAATCCTTTCATCTAGCTGAGACCAAGGAGCTTTCTTGTCGAAGAACGAACGTTCGTTCTTTCGTGCATCTTCCCACGTAATACCCCCTTCGAGTTGTTCTAGGTTGGCTTGCTTAACGCAATACCAACCATGCTTGAATCTCTCTTCTTTGTTTTCAAGTAAAGCGAGCCAAGAACGGTAACTCCCAGCTGCGATACGGTCTGGTTTCGTGAGCACAGCTGTAGCTTGGGATTAGATACTATCGGTTGTGGATAAGAGTCAACCTACGGATAGTGCGGTCACCTGTGGGATCAAGCTGTTTTGCAAGTCTACGCGCACTCTGATTTTCAATATCGCCTTTAACGCAACATTAAGCTCAGATTCTATCATCAGAGTAAAATACGGACTTTCGCAGGAGATGACGAGAAGGATGAGGCAGCTGGGTTTCTTGATGAATCCCGTAACAAGATTGCGAACGTCATCGATATCTGAATCTTTGTCTCCATATCGCACAGATATGAAGATTCCTACAGTAATATGTGAATGCAATAGCAACGAGATGATATTCCTACTTACCTGGGAGATCGACAAAAGATAGATCATCAACGTTTCTTCCAGAAATCCGCACAGAGACAACATCAGTCGAGAAAGAGAGCTCATTTGAGCCAATTGCCGCTGTGCCATCGAGAACTTTCAGAGGATCTTTTGAAGGGTTGAGAACCGCAAGTTGCGCTCGACGAATCCTATCTTCGACATCGGATTTGTCTTTGACAACATCCCCAAACTTGACTTCTCGAAGCTCTCGAGCAATAAGTAAGTAAACCTCGCACGACCACTCGCGATCAACACGAGACAGGCGACATTCGATGGGACACCTGTTTATTTGCCAGATGAGTTATCTATTGGCGTTTTAGGCTCTTCATACGAACCTGGTACAAGTCCCTGTAGCACGAGGAAGTGTAATCTATGGCAAGAATCGTTAGAATAAGACGATACTAGGTAAACTAAGATATCTACCCCGGAAATAGATTCGATTAACGAACTTTTCCCTACAGATTGAGAGCCGATAACCGCTATACCAGGTAAGTCCAATTTGTGTTGGAGGCTAAGGTGGGGGAAGGTGCAAATAAGGGGATGCGAGGGGATGAGTAAGCGATAGGGGTCACTGCAGGAGCTAGTAGAAGATCAAACCCATAGCTCGTGAGATGGTTCACGATATTGGTTACTCCTCGCTTAACCTTAAACTGGGCGGTTTCTGGATTCGAGAGAGCCATAAGACCCTTCCCGAAACAGGGATTCTCGTCAGTACCAGGGAAAGACATTTCAGATGCGGAAGACATTGAGATGAAGGAGGATATGAAGAGATTTCATCTATCAAACTGGGTTTTATAGGCGTCCAGGCAATCTGACCGTGTCAGGCTCTACAGATTTACCTGCCCTTTATCATAGGTTGATTACACGCGTCAGTCTCCACATTCTGTCACGAATGTTGGAAGCTTCCTTCTTCTTGAATTTGGATTAGGTTTCCAGAATAGAACCGGTAAGCAGCTTCAAAGAGGGTTGCAATGTCCACAAGAAAGTAGGCGACGGATATAATAATGTTTCAACACACAAGTCTTAGCTATTCAGCTAATGATGTTAAAATATATAAAGGTTCTGTAAATCTTTGTTTGGGGTAGGGGCTCGGTGGCTGAGCAACCGACTGCAGATCGGTAGGTCCCAGGTTCAAATCCTGGTTGCCCCTTGTGTTTTTTTTTTCTTTTGGTCCCCTTCCCTTTTGATTGAAAGCAATATTTGAAGTGAATATTCTATCTGTATAATGTTTTTAGACTTTATTCCAGTTCTCTGGCAATTATAGCCACAAGACCGCGTTTACCAATGCGTATATACAGGAGTTCCCTAACATGACCGGTGAATTGTACAGTGGAATAACGATGTGCAAAGAAATAGGTCGACGAGTAAGGGTGTATATCGTCAAATGATTACGTTTTCCCTCAGGTTACACATCCCAAGGACGACTTCTGGGATGACGACGCCCCCATCTAAGGCTGTCCGTGAGGATTGACTCGGCATTCGTATTGGAATCGCCATACACAGTGATTTCGTCTCTCTTCTAATGCTCTGAACCGAGAGGCACAGC